AACCGCATCCTCTATGGGGACTTCCGGCAGAGGTGGGTATGAGGGCGCCCCAGGGCTCAGAGAACAGGGGGAGCCAGGGCTGCCCTGGTGGGAACAGGAGTCTGCAGGTGGCTCTGGAATTCTGTGGGCAGAGCAGATCAGTGCAGAGCATGACTGACTCTGGACACTTCCCTCCTCAGGTATCGCATCCTGAACCCAGCAGCCATCCCTGAGGGACAGTTCATTGACAGCAGGAAGGGGTCAGAGAAGTTGCTCAGCTCCCTGGACATCGATCACAACCAGTACAAGTTTGGCCACACCAAGGTGAGTCTAGAGCCCTGTTGGGTGGTTGCAGGGTAGGCGGCCATGTTGAGTGAAGCAGAGAGGAGTTCAGAAAGCAGATCCCTAATTCTGGCTTCCTTACTAACCATATCAAGGGCTGAAACCCAGGCTTTATTCCAGTCTTGTCAAATCTTTACTCTCACTTCTAGAAGCCCGGGGTGATGGGTTGTCTGGGGGCTCATCCAGGGTCTTCCACCCTCTCCTTCCACCCTGGACAACCCCCTCTGAGGCTGTGTCCCCTTACATCTACTCCTTGCCTGCAGGTGTTCTTCAAGGCAGGGCTGCTTGGGCTGCTGGAGGAGATGCGGGATGAGAGGCTGAGCCGCATCCTCACACGCATGCAGGCCCAAGCTCGAGGCCAGCTCATGCGCATTGAGTTCAAGAAGATAGTGGAACGCAGGTCAGCCAGGAGGAAAAGGGAGGGGTGCACCAGGGGTGCACCAGAGATGTAAGAGGCAAATCCTCAGTGTCAACTAGTGTGGGTCAGAAGACCTGGGTTTAGACCTATAAGCTGGCCCGGGCAAGCTTACTTTACCACTTGGAATCTCACTGCAAAATTTTTTTTTTTTTTTTTTAAGAAAATTCAATATAGGAAAATGCAAATTAAGATGCCAATGAGATATCATTTTAAAATTAGACTTTGCTTGCTCAAATGGTCTACAAATTTTAAAAAATGAAAGAAGTACACGAAATAAAAGATAACATAATTTAAAAAAATTTTTAAGCCACTAGACTGACAAAAATTAAGAAGGTTGACCCACTGCTTACAGATGTGTAAATTAGTGCAACTTCCTAGGAAAAGTTTATCACTATCTCTTAAACAGCTGCATACTTTTCCATTCCACTCCTGAGTACATTCCTACAGAGAAACTTTTATACATGTACACCATGACACGAAAAATAATCTTTTTAGCAGCACTGGCCATAATAGCAAAAATCTTAAAACAGCTTGAATTTCCATCCACAGGGGAATGGGTAAATAGTATTATAGTCATTCAGTAGAACATTATAAAACAGTGAAAAGAAGTGAACTCCAACTATATGGTACAATATGTTTGAACATTAAAGCATATTGTTAGTAAACAAAAATCTTAGGAGGATACATATAGTATGATGCAATTTTTATAAAGCTCATAAATATCAAAACCAGCCATTCATTGTTTAAAGATACATGCACATGGCTGGGCATGGTGGCTCAGGCCTGTAACCCCAGCACTTTGGGAGGCTGAGGCAGGCAGATCACCTGAGTTCAGGAGTTGAAGACCAGTCTGGCCAACATGGTGAAACCCTGTCTCTATTAAAAATACAAAAATTAGCTGGGCATGGTGGCGGGCACCTGGAATTCCAGCTACCAAGGAGGCTGAGGCTCAGGAGAATTGCTTGAACCCGGGAGGTGGAGGTTGCAGCGAGCTGAGATCATGCCATTGCACTCCAGCCTGGGCAAAAGAGTGAAACTCCATCTCAAATATAAATAAAATAAAAATAAAGGTACATACATATGTGGTTAAAGTCATTTTTGAAAAAGCAAGGAAAGGAAAAATAAGATTCAGAATAGCGGCTGCTCCTGGTGCGGTAACAGGGGTGTAGGAAGGAAGTCACGGGTAGATCAATGGCTGGTAACACTGAAGTGTTTGGGTGGTGGATTCATGGGTAGTCATTTTGCTTTCATGCTTCGTAACTTACATACATATTATAGATATTCTCATATGTAAACTCCTACCTAATTTTTTAACATATTTGAAGTTCTTATGAGAATAAAAAACTGAACAGAGTAGACACTCTGTAAGTGGTAGTGTCCATTATCACTAATATCCCAGCTGGGAAGATAGAAACTGCCCTTTCATCAAACTGATTAATAAATATTTATCAAGCAACTCCATGTTCAGTGTAGTGATGTTGGGGATGGGCATGCACAGGAAGGAAGGCTGTGTGCCTACAAACTGGCTTAGTCCGGCCCATGACTGGGAAGCACTGTTTCATTGTGCCCCACCCTGCCTCCTCGTCAGGGATGCCCTGCTGGTAATCCAGTGGAACATTCGAGCCTTCATGGGGGTCAAGAATTGGCCCTGGATGAAGCTCTACTTCAAGATCAAGCCACTGCTGAAGAGCGCAGAGACAGAGAAGGAGATGGCCACCATGAAGGAAGAGTTCGGGCGTGTCAAAGAGACGCTGGAGAAGTCTGAGGCTCGCCGCAAGGAGCTGGAGGAGAAGATGGTGTCCCTGCTGCAGGAGAAGAACGA